TGTAGTTGTACAATGTAGTTACAGCTCCACCGCGGTCAAATACTCCAGCATGCGCAAAGGGTCGCGCAAAGTCGTAAATTCTGGTCGCCCGCCGCGCCAATTTCCCGCGCAAAATTTTGAACGGAAACCAAAATTTGCGAGAAAAAATCAAAACCTTTATATAATTTGCGAAAGGAAAACAAGTAGGTAAAAGGAGAAGTTTAGAATTTTCAAACACAAAGTGCAGTATATTTCCAGCATTCTGTTGATTTACCATTAATTTTTTTTGGACGTTTACCAAAAAAAGTTAGACGTGTTTAAAAACATGGTGTAGTATTGAGGTTTGTCGGCGTAGTTATTTTTGCATGCTCAGACGTTTGAACGCGATGGAAATTACGGCCAGCATACTCGAACATACAATAAATGTTGGGCATGTTAGTGTGTAGTGTTTACGAGTCTAGATATATCAGTTTTGGCGAGCCCGTAAGGCGAGTGAAAATACAAATGAGGAGTAAAAACTGTACAGCAATTCTACACACTAAAATGTCCGATAAGAGATTTATTATACAACGTTTTTCTTTCCCGAAATCCAGATTTTGAATTGTGTTTTGCGTTGCACGTAGCCAGGGGAACTAAGAGGACTACAGTATCCTGAACAACTATTATGGGATGTTTGTACTCGTTCCGTGCGTTCATTTGTAGTCTATTGCAGTCTATTGTCTCACCTATACTGGGAGTCTCCTCAAAAGGGTTCCCGCCATAAGATAAAACGGAAGCGGCAGCTGAGGCAGCTCTGATGTCGTCCAGGAAAGGATTCGATGCATCTTCAGACCCGAACGAGGAAATCTGCTTCATCAAATGGATTGGTACTATGCCCCAAGTCCTCTTCGAAGGAGTTCATTTTATTTCCCGTAATGGTCGATACAGGTGGTGCGGGTTTTAGCTTGAGGTGAAGCCGGTAACTTCTGCGCCCTTTTTCTGCCGTTCAGCTTCTTTCGCTCTCTCTCTGCAGCTTTCGCTGTTTGGATTTCCCAGAATTTCTCTGTGGCTTTATTTCTGGCCTCTTTTTTGGCTGCCACCCTAGCTTGCATTCTTTCTGTGGCTTTTACTTTCATTTCTTCTGTTTCTGTGCCTCTGGGCGTTTGGATTTGCACCGCTGGAGAAAAGAATATATGAAAAGTGTTTTAGCTGTTCAAACTCTCGCTCGGCCTG